TAGGTTTAATAAAATGTATAAGTGATGTATATAATATATGTGGATACATAATACAATGTCAATGCATTCTCAACTAAATGTCTATTCATGGACACACATAAATATTATATTGAGAATTCATGAATATTGTATTATATATCTATAAATATTGTATTGTGCATCTATGAATATTGTATTATAAATGCTCTACGTGACTTTATTTTAATTAATCTATAGATCAACTGAATATGCATAAATATTTGCATATATTATATTGTACATAATTTGAGTTTTCAAATCATATAAGAATAAAATTATATTTTTACTCTTAAAAAAAATTATAATAAAAATTTTAAATTTATATTGTAACATCAGAATGAATAACATTAAAATAAAATATTTTATTATTTTAAGGCCTGATTCTCCTTATTAAAAAAAGAACCGTGAGGGGACAAAATTACCTACCACGGTACGATAAGCGTACTGTGTGGCTCAAATGTCCGGGAGTCATAAAATCACCGGCGGTTACATGCAAAAACAGAAAACATGAAAGCGACGTGCAATGGAATGTTGTTTTTAGGCAGTGGGTGGCTGATGACCGATGACTTGATGTGCGGTCTTCATGTGGCCCCACACCAACACCGCTGAATTATTATGTGGGGACGAGCCGCAGAGGATCGCTGCCCCCACACGCAAACTAAAACCAAACGGGTAGTGGGCCCACGTGGTCTCACCCGTTTCTTCTAACCGTTGGATTGAAGATTAGAGATCTTCTTGTGGGGTGATTGGGTTTTTTTTTAATTATTATTTGGAAAAAAAAAATGACATAATAGAGTGATAGATTGGCATACGTGGAAAAGATAGAATGCATGAATATTTCTCACATGCAAATGCGTGCGTTTACATGTAATGCTTCCACTATCTTAATAATCTGATTCTTTATACTACGACCATTATTTAGTTTTATTTTTTTTGAAAAAAAGAGTACGTCTTAGTCTTATCCGAAATTCAATATTGAAAACAGCTGTGATGGTATAGACATTAATTTGCACATGAAGCTTTGGATTGAAGGTGGCTATATAGCGAGGTTATATATATATATATACTTGCCGGATTTCACATCATTCACCCATCCCATGTCAATAATAAGGCCATCTCTTCAAGCATTTTTATCTGCTATCTTCCTTTTCTAATTAAGATCAAGCAATAATAAAATGTTTGGTTGGTAAAAAAGTATTTTCTATAAAAAAAAAAGAGGAGAAATGTACATATTTCACTTTTTTGAGGTACATTCCTAATTTCTTTTGTTAAAATTAAATTTTTTTTATACCAAACATACTATAAATGAAACTTGCTTTACTGGTATATTTTCCAATAAGAAGATCAACTTAATTAATTTGCCATCATATATACCTTGAAGGTTCTTAGCCTAATGTGTTGGCCTTCATGAATTTATATTTGTTGTTGAAGACATTTTTTATTTTTGTGATTTTCGAGGAGCGTCTCTTGGGTTGGGTAACTAACTATATAAGGAGAATAATAAATAAAGATCTTGTAAGAATATTAATATCAAATTAAAAACTTTAATACTGAAATATGGTAGAAGGAATACTAAAATTCGGGAATGTCAGTCTTGAAAAATCTTAATCTCATATGTTCTTACATGTTTTTTACTTGTCATCCACTCCTAAGTATGACACATCATTTGGGAGCATCTCTTAGTTTGGGTGACTAAGTATTTAGAAAAAATAACAAATAAAGACCTTGTAAGAATATTAATGTCAAATTAAAAACTTTAATGTTGAAATATAGTAGAAAAAATACTACAATTTTAGGAATATTAGTCTTGAAAAATCCTATATTGATATTAATATTTTTCCAAAGTTTTTGCTTGTTATTCTTTCCTAAATATAACACATGATTTGGCAAGGGCAAAAAAAAAAAAAAAACTAATGTATGTTTTACATGAGAAAAGCGGAGTGCTTTATGATGGTCTGAAGGATGGGAGATGAGCGGGAAGAGGGCCCAATACGAGTGGGAAATGTTTAAAAGTCCAAAAAGGAGAATGGAAAAAAACTGTGAACACAAAATTCCGTTTTGATAGTGAGATGGTGACACGGATACACAGTGTGGCTGTGTGGTGTGTGGCCCAATTAATTTTCTTTTATTTCTCATTGGATACTTTTTTATCCTCCAAGCACTCCTTGTGCTGTGCTATCCTTTTTTCAACATAATCATTCCCAAATTTATTACGCTTCATTTTTTTTTTGGTCCACCCGGCCTTTCAGATTTTGGAGGGTCATGATTCAGTTCTAAAAATTCATATATTCTAATTCACTCTTGAAATTTCTTAAATTTGTTGCCCTGGTTGATTCTTAAAATACATTTATCTTTCAAAAATGAATATTCTGTTTAAAAAATATTCGTTGCTGATTTTAAACTATTATTGTTCTGTTAGTAAAGTGCTTTCTTTTTGCTTTTTTTTTTTTTAAAGAAAATAGGGTATGTAAAGCGACAGTGGGATTAGAGTGACAAATGTACCCCTTCATTTTGAAGCGTATTGAAACTTGGGTATGAATTTTAGTATTTCGCATCCATGTCCTTGAAAAATTTACCTATTTACTTCCTAAATTGTAATATTTTGCACCCCTCACCTAATAGTACCGGCTCGAAATCAACAGCCACTTCTGACCTTCGCTTTTAAATCAATATTTTCAGGTCGAAAATTTTTTTAAATCCTTACACATTTCATTAAAAAAAAAGTAAAACGGATTCTGTATATTTATATAAAATTCAAAAGTAATTGCAATATTTACAATCTGTGAGCAACATGACTTCTATATTTTTTTATAGACTTCTTACAAACTTAAGCAGGCTGTTGAATATTTATTAACAGGTTCCATAATTTTATGTTATACTCCCTCCATCTTAAAGTATAAGATATTTCAAAAAAAAATTAACGTCTTAAAATATAAGATACTTTGATAAAAATAAAGTTTCATTAATAATTTTTTTTAATACTCTCTCTATCCCTATATATAATATATTCACGCATACCAATAAAAGTTAGTTATTTAATTAAAAATACAGCAACATTTTAATTTTGTTCTTAATTATTGTAAATAAAAAATGAATCTCTTTTTTAAAAGTAAATTAATAAAAGTACTTATATTTTTCTCTTTTCAATTTAATAAAAGTATAATAGTTCATTTATTAAAAAAAGGCCATATAACCCCTTATATTTAGGGACAAAAAAAATATTCTAAAAGATTTCTTATATATAGAGACGGAGAGAGTATTATCCTTCTTATATATTCTCTTTTTTCAATATTATTTCATTAATAGAGTATTCAATAAATGGTATTTTTAAAAATTTATATTTTTTTAAAAAATAAAATTGTAAAGTGTATTTAATAAATTTTATTAATATATAGAAATTTATTTAAAAATATTTCATGCTTTGAAATGGAGGGAGTATTATGTTGATATAGATAAATTATACTCTCACTGTTTAAAAATATAAGACATTTTTAATTAAATCTCACCCCTTAATAAAATAGGCACCTACTTTTCAACTAACTTTATCTTTTTATATTTATCATTATTAAATATCATACAATAAATATAAAATAATCATTAATAAGAATACTTTAAAAAAATAATAATTATATTTTAAAAAATTAAAAATATTTTTTATTTTTTCATTCAATTCTTTAAAGAAGGGAGTATATTATCTCCGACAAGAATCTTTAACATTTCAACTAAATCTAATAAAAAAAGCTGTCGTTGGGTACAAATTGCAAAAGGATAGAGTGGTTATGCTTATACTTTCACAAAAAAAAAAAAAATCTCTCTCTTCTTACCTTTTTGGTACATCATCAGTACTCTCTCCCCCTCCTCTCCCTCTCTCTCTCGAGTACAAAGTACAAACATCCCACGGATTTAATTGTTTCCCTTCTAAGTTTACATATTATTAACCTTCCTTTTTATGTGAATGAATAGCTTTTAAGCCATAGATTATCTGCGAAGAAAATCAAGAAATGTGTGGTTAATATATTATTATTTATTTAACATTACATGAGAGGGGTGAAGGGCAATGGAAGTGGGGAATACCTAAAAAGTTCAATATGTATTTTTCAAAAGTTAATTACTTTTGCAACGAAAGATGATATGATACAGAGAAACGACGTGGATGATAATAGTTTTGTTCTCTTGCTGCTTACTTTTATCATTACTTTTTGTATTATGCTTACTCCAAAGATACTTTTATGAACTTATAAATTAAATCGGGCATAAAAAAGTTTGATTAGATAATGCACGCCCTCTCCCTTCAACCGAGAGTGGCTGGTGGGCCAGCCAATCCGCCACCAGTGGCAGATCTACAACATCCACAGTTCTGTAATGACTGATAAAATAATAATACTCCACTCAAATCTTTTTCTCTTTAAATAATATATATTTAGTGATTTAATTTTATATAATTTTTATTTTAATTTTTAAATTTTATAAAAAAGTTTAATAATTTAAATTTAAGTTTGTTGGTTTTATTTAAATAAATTTTTATATTAAATTTTTAAATATTAATAAAATATTGTAATATATTAACATATTAAATTTAATTTTTTTTAAAATACTTTTCTCACCTTAAATTATAAGATGTTTTTAAATAAAATTTTATATATCAATAAACCTTATTAAATACACTTAATAATCTTATTTTTTTAAAATAAAAATATAAACTTATAAAAATATCTATCATTCAATATATTAAAAAAAAAAAATAAAAATTAATTATAGAAAAAAAAATAATATTAAAATTGAGATATAGAATTAAAGTAATGATTATTGATAAAAAATAATTATTTTAAATTAAAAATGTTAAAATTAAAGAATTAAAAAAATACTTTATAAAATTAAAAAATTAAATTAAAATTTTATATAAAATTAAAGAACTTAAAACATACTTTAATATTATTTAAATAATTTAACTTTCGATAAAATTTATTTTTAAAAAAGGAAGATGAGGGAATCTTAAATAATATTCCATTCAACTCGAATCCACTAATTAACAAAATTTACAATCCAAATCAACCGACGGAACCCCTTTAATTCGTTTCGACTGGGGACTGATCGGTGTTTTTCCCACCCAACCATCTTCTCACTCTACTAACGTAATCTCTGAAACAAACTCATCGGAACGATGAAAAATAAATATATATATCAGTCGTGAAAAAATTACAAAAAATATAATTAGTCAATTATGCTCTGTCGTCGGACTCTCACATCCCGACCCGACCCATGTCAGCTTTAACAGATGGGCTCCTCATGAAGCAAGGGCCAAGATTCTCCCGCCAAGTCATAATTACTTCGGACGTCCACGTGGCAGCGTCTCTGGAAATCTTCGAGGTTCACGAAGCGGAACGAGCGACCCGACTCAGACCGTGAAACGACCCGGAGGACCTCCTCGAACATCGACTCGTCGCACGGGATCGTCAAGGGGCCTTGGTTGCAGAACCCGTACTCCTCCTCGGCCCGAGTTAGAAGCTTGTTGAAGATCGGGTGATTCAGGTACGTTGCGCGCACGATAAACCTCCGGCAGCTGGGTCCCACGCAGACAGCCACGTGCCCGGCCGGCACATCGGACGGTGTACGAACAGCCGTTATGCGAGCCTTCTTGCGCCACCGGAGAAGCATCTGGCGGATTCGAACAATGTGTCGGATTTTGCTGCACTTAGCGGCGGCCGGCGACATTATTGTTTTTCAGAGAAGCGATCGCAAGAGAAAAGCGCAGCAGAGAGAGAGAGCGTGGAATTTTTTGACAACGGTATGCGGAAAAGAGGTGACGGTTGAGTGGAATGCGAAGGAGGTTGCAAACTATATAATGTTAGGCAAAAGAAAGATGACCCTGTGATTGTAGATAATTACGAGATTGTGTGTGTTGGCCTCGTCGTTTTTAGCCCATGTGATGTCAGAGGGGGGAGACAGAGATCATGTGACTTAGCCCACTAACTTAAAGTTTCAATGTTTTTTTTAAAAAAAAATCATCATCAATATCCTTTTATATATATAGATATATATATATATATATTATAAAATTAAAATGATTGGCACCCTATTGCAACAATGTCCCCATTTGTAACGTCATTTTTTATTCAATGCGCTGGAGCTAATTGCAAGATTTATATATGAATTTTAAAATGTAATAAGTAATATGTAAATTTGCAGAATTGTTTTATTAAATATTTTATATATCAATGCATTTAGTATAAACTGGCAATGTAAAATGAAAACTTATGTGTCTGAATAATAAGGGAAGCCATGATAGAAGAGTTCATGTTTGGTGGTTACTTTTTGGGGAAAAATGTTTATGGACGTCAAATCTTGTAGCTGGGTTCTTATCACATGGTATCAGACAAAATTATTGTGAAATTTGTGGACAAAGATCTGAAACTTTGAAAAAAAAAAAAATCGTTACTAATATTTGCTCCCTCCGCTTTTATATATATAAAAAAATTATATTATACGGTTTAAAAAAACTACTTAACCATAATAATTATGTATGAAAATAAAAAAATAAATTAAAATACCCTATATTAATTAATATAAGCATACATTAATTATTTTTCATTAATGTAAATTACAAGGGGTGATTTAAAAAATGTGTAATAAATATTTATTAAAATATATGATTTTATTTATATAAAAATAGTAATTTCTCCTATAAATAAAAACAGAGGGAGTATGTTATTTGATCCTTATTATAACACATTAATCAATGAAATGTGATTAAATTTTTAACTTTATCTAAAAAATAAAAAAAATCAATTTTACCAGTATTTAAATAGAAACCTTTTAAAATTACATTACATTATCTCTCATAAAAAATAAATTTAAATAGATGTAATATTAAAAAATAATTAATATTCTATCAGCTAATTATTTTTATCGAGCATGTTTGATTTTATTTGAGGTATGATCAGGGCACTAAATGTATGCACTTTTTTAAATAAAAATTTAAATATTAATTTATTGTGTTATGATAAATTAGTTACATTCGCCAAGCCCTAAACCTGTTGGTTTTCATCAAAAAAACTTTCAATAACAATCATCTATTGCTTTTAAATGTTTTATAATAAGAATGGGAGGATGAATGTGTGTGTGAGAGAGCCACCATCATCATAAGTGCAACTTCACTATTAATGTTTAAGTTTAACTACATTGTTTTGTAAATTTTAAACCAGCTTAATTACGATGAACCGGATCTAATTCCTTTCATAAAAAATGTTTCCATGTTTAATATTAATATATATCAACATAATATTAAACTATAGACAAAAATATATTAAGTATTATTTTTATTACTATTTCCAAAAAAACAAAGACAGATTGTGATATAGTTTGAGACATAATCCCCCCTCTATTCCATCGGATTGGCTAAGCTGTAATAATTAGTTTTTGACAAAAATTAATCATTTAATTTTTATAGTTTTGACTAAATTATAACTCAGTTTTTTAATTTTGACTCGTTATAATTCAGTTTTTGAAGTTTTAATTTAGTTATAAATCAGTCTCTAAATTTTGTCTTTTATAATTTAGTCTTTGAAGTTTCATTCTCTTAAATATTGGTCTTATATTTGAAGAAATAAAATTATAAAAATTAAAAATATTTTAAACCTTTAATATTTATTTATAAATATTAAAAGGATTTAATAATTTAAAATATTAGTAATAAATTTTAAAATATTTTTAATTTTTATAATTTTATTTTTTAAAATATAGAAACCAATATTTAAAATGTTAAAATTTTAAAGATTGAATTGTAAGAGACAAAATTCAGAAATTAATTATAATTGAGTCAAAACTTAAAAAACTGAGTTATATTAAGTCAAAGTTTAAATATTGAATTACAACTAAGTCAAAACTAAAATTATAAGATTAAGTGATTAAATTTTTTTTAATTTTTTATATGTAGGAATTTCGTTGGGAAGTTATAGACAAGTTCAAGTAGAAGTAAAGAGACACGGCGTGTAAGACATACATCTGCTTCAAATCAATTATTTATGAGAGAAGCAGATGCTTGTCTTTGAAGTGCATTAGATCCACACCACAATCCCCAAACATAACTTTGCTCCAAATCCTCTAATCCATCCCCATCTGCCTCCAAAATAGTTTTGTATTTGCACCTTTGGTGTTTTTAAATAGACAAAATTTATTCATATTTTAAAAATTTAAAATTACGATAAAAAAAACAAGATTATTAAATTTTACTTGAATTTTTAAGAAACTCTTTAAAAAATTAATCAAATTATAATAATTATATAGAGCTGCATTACTAAAATTATTTATAAATCGCTTGATCTTTTCAATCTCCCATCCTTGGCTAATATAGGAATTGTAGCACTCTCATTTTTTTTTATTTTGTTAATATATATTGATTTTGGTATATTGGATTTCTTATCTCCCTATTCTGTCATTATTTTTCATCTCTTCTACATATTTTTTACTCTTTTCATTTAAAAATATAAAGTATTTTTTAAAAAATTAGATATTAAAAAATGTTATATATTTTTAGTCTTTTGAAATGTAATCATTATTTTTTAAAAAAAATACCCTTATTGATAGTAACTTTATATTTATTATAGGGTATTTAATAGAGGTAAATATAAAAAAATAAAGTTAGTTTAAAAGTAAATAATTACTTTATTAGAGGCAAGATTTGATTAAATATGCTTTATATTTTTAAATAGAGGGAGTATGCTTTACATTTAAAATCCACGTATTTCACTTAAAATCTTATGCAAACTAATATACTATCTTCTAATAAAAAAATTTCATTGATTATTAATATCTTTTGCATAGTTCAGTAAGGAAATATAATTTAATAATCAATGTGATAAAATAGAACAATACATTTATTTTTTAAAAGAGTCGTTATGAATTTAAAAAAAATTAGATACACTTTATATTATGCAATAAAACATATATTTATATTAAAAAAATATAATATACTCACAAGAAAAACACTAAATAAGAGAGTGCACGCCAACCATCATGAGGAGAATTTTTTTTGGGGGGACGTTCGTTAATCATTATAATTAAAAAATAGGAAACTTAAGATTGAGAAATAATCGATTGAACATTGATTAGCGGCGCTTAACATTTAAAAGGCCATCAACTAACAAGCCAATAATTTTGCAGTCTTGAGACTTTGGATTCTTTTTTAGCCTCGTAGAGTTGGAGACTATCATTTCACTCTAAAATGTTATAAATTATTTATTACTCTCTCTGGTTTTATTTTATAAAATAGGTGAGAGAAGAATTTTTTTCATCTTATTTATAAATCATGTGATTAAATTTTTATCATAAGATTTTTATTTTACACTTCATTAAATGTTGAAAAGAAAAAAATATATTATTAAAATATGCATATTTAATAGAAGTAAAGTTGGTAACTTTTAAAATTTAAGATAGAATTAATAAGTTTTAAAAAATTTTTATACTAATCAAACATATTGAAAGTAACTTTAAATAAGATAAAAATAATATTTAATAAATAAAAATTAGAATCATGAAAGAGATTCCGTGATAAGTGATAACAAATTGAGCTGAGGTCAAATTGATGTGTGTTTAAGAATGAAGTAAGAGAAAATTAAAGAGGAAAGAGACAAAACAACAAAGACAAGATCAACTGCACTTTGTTTTGTAATGTCTGATTATCTTAATCTCACGATTTCCCTGTCTCCCCATAATCTTTCTAGCACAGTAATCTCGATTACTTCTAGATTTAACATTTTTTGAGATCTTGGAATATATGCTGGACCCCAGCACAAACTTGATATGCTTTTTTAAAAAATAACTTGATAGAATTATTTTGATTAAATGATATTTTTTATTTGAACAAAATTTCAAGGAAGACGTTGAAAAATTAGAGTGAAGGAAAAAAAAACTCCCTCCATCTCAAATTATAAAATACATTTAAATAAAATTCACATATCAATAAACCTCATTAAAGATACTTAACAATCTTATTTTTTTTAAAATAAAAATATAAACTTTTAAAAATATTCATAATTTAATATATTGAAAAGAGAATGAATAGAAATTAATTATAGAGAGAGAAAGGATAATGTTAAAATTGATATATTTAGGGAGACCTTAATTTACCTAAGATATCTCATGTTTCAGCATGAAAACATTCCTTCAAAAGTGCTCTATAATTTGAGACGGATAGAATATTAATGAAAGTAATAATTAAGAACAGAGAATTTAAAAAGGGGATTGGATCTAGCAAAATAGGTTAACTTGCAAAATATTGAAATCAAGATTTAGATATTCACTAAAAAATATGCTTACATTTAATATCTGATTGTATTTTAAACATTATTGTCTCTAGTATAAGGACAACTATGTACTCTTTTTGTTTTTATATATAAGAGAAAAATTATATCACACAGTTTAAAAAAATTAGTTAACTATTATAATAATGTCTAATAAACTAAAATATTCTATGTTAATCAACATAAGTATGCATTAATTATTTTATCATTAATACAAATTATTAGGGATAATTTAAGAAATGTGTAATGAATGCTTATTGAAATAAATAATTTTAGTCATTAAAAAATTAAAAAGTGATAATTTTTCTTATAAATAAAAATAGAGGGAGTATTTAATAAAGAAAAACAAAAAAGGAACGGAATCAAATGAAAATTGCACTATCTATATCTCTTGGGATAATAAAAACTCTCTTCGTTAAAAAATATAAAGTATTTTTAAAGGATAAATGTTAAAAATATAAAGTATTTTTAATTTTTTTAAGGTATAATTATTTCTTTGTTTTAAACTACCCATATTGATGATTGGTTTTATATTTATTATAAGGTGTTTAATAAGAATAAATACATACTTTATTTAAAAATAAAATTTAATTAAAAATATTTTATATTTTTTAACAGGAAGAGTATAAAAAAAAGTCTTACCCATATTATCAAAAAAAAGAAAGAAAGAAAACAAAGAAAAGTCGCACTCACGGGGCATGAGTTATAAATATCATGATTTGTTGTATGAGACTTTATAGATATACAAATATAGATTGCATTTGCTTAAGAGTTTCTCTGTTTTTTTGTTTTTGGGGGGGGGGGGGGTAACTTGCATATCACTTTTGTCCTGGTACAAAATTGCAAGGGCTGTCCTGGGATTTCCGACTGATATAAGTCTGGACTGGGCTCATCACTGTTATGACACTCTTTCAGGCTTTTTTTGGCCCACTTGTCTTAACAAACGCACTGAGCAAATTTACAGCACCCCGAGAGAGAGAGAGAGAGAGAATTAGTATATGGCATAACTTATAAACCCATTTATTCCAAATATTTGTTTAGCTATGGGTGTAAACAAATATAGAATAACATTTCTTAACTGAGCTCTTATTTAGATATTTTATAATTCAATTATATAATGTCTAGGTTTTGAACAGTATTTATAGTCCCTGCAGTTGCTGCTGCTGTTTAACTTTATATATATATATATATATATATATTTTTTTAATTTTTTACATTTTTAATATGGTTTAAATGTTAGAACAAATGAACAATGATTGCAACTTTTTTTAATTTTTAAAAAGAATAATAGAACTTTCAATCTCTTAAGTTTACTTCAATTATTTATTTCGTTATTTAAATTTAATTTTTATTAACTTAATCCCTTGCGTTTTCTTAAATTATTATATTAGTTCTTTAAGTTTTAACATATAAATTAACTCTCAAACTAATATAATATATAAAGTATATTAATAACTTGACATGCATTTATATGTAACTGAGTGAGGATGAATTGGCTCTCGAATCAATTTAATTTTAATTAATATAATCTCTTCCATTGTATTCTTTATTTAATTTTATAATTTGTTTTTTACCTACTTAAATGTAATTCTTTTTATTAATCTACATGATTACTATCAATACTTTGTTATCTATATCAGCAGATTTTAACAGTATTGCATTCTCTTTAAATAATAAAATCAAATCAATGAGGTAAAATTATGGGACCAAATTGGTAAAAATTAAATTTGAGAGATCAAATTAATAGTTAAGACAACTTTAAAAAAAGACTAAAAAATTCCTTATCTCTTTTTAAAAATTAGAATTATTATATCTCCTGTAAAAGGATATCTAGTTTTAACTTTATATTGGTATGAATTTTTTAAAAAGGTGAAATTATTAGTTTTTTATAGAATGGGAAAATATATCTGCAAAATTTTATAATTTTACTCAATTTTTAAATACTTACAATTTATTTTATTTTAATTATGTCCTTTAAATTTTAATCAAGTAAATTTTTTAATGTCTTAAGGTTAAAATCCTTAAATTTGTTCTTTAAAAAATCAAATTATTAGCATTTATATAAAATTAATTACATAATTTTTGTAACTCAAAATTTATGTAATTAAATTGTATTTTAAATATTTTCTTATACATATAAAATTTTTATAAAAATTAATAAAAATGTAAATAAGGTATTAAATTAAATTTTCTGTAAACTTCAATAATATTTTTATTTTATAAAATTTAATCATTCATTATTAATTTTAACCTTCAAAAATTAACTTATATAATATATTAAATTATAAAAATTTAATTAAAATAAAATAAACTGTAAGGACATAATTTAAAAATCAGTTAAACCATAAAGATTTGTGTGTGTATTGTTCCTCCAGTAAATCGCTACTCTCATTTTAACAGCTTTAAGAAGTGTTCAAATGTTTACACTTTACAGCCTATTTATGGAAGAGTAGTATATATAAACTTTAGTATAGACTATGGAAGAAACTCAGAAATTTAGAACATATATAATATAAAAAAAAATTAATAATTTTAATAAATTGTATTATTTATAAACTATAAATAACAACTTTCATTTTTCAAAAACCATACAAAACACATTAATTCCTTTTTAAAAAAAAAAATACATGAGGTGCAAGTCATCCATAATATTTTCACAATCATGAAAAATAAATATTTTTTGAGAGAACAAAAGGAATTGAGAACGGCATTTAATCCTTACTGTCAATATTTCATTTAAATGATTCATATTCCTCCCGTTTAAAAATGTAAGATATGTTTTAATAAATTAAATATTAAAAAATATAAAGTATTTTAATCTTTTAAGGTGGAATCATTATTTTTTTTACAAAAATACCTCCATTAATAATGACTTTATATTTGTTGTAAGGTATTTTATAAAAATAAATATAAAAAAATATAATTAATTTAAAAGTAAATAATTACTTTATTGGGAAGTAAAATTCAATTAAAAATGCCTTACATTTTTTAATGGAGGGAGTAATTCAATTTCCACCCTTCCAAGTACTATCAATAAAAAGTTTAGAATCTAAATCATCCAAATTAACATATCAATTTCCCACCCACTAAAATTGATCAAGGTTCCTATCAATGATCTTGTGACCAAGGCATGGCAGGCAGAGACACAGGAAGCACTTGACAACGTAAATTTGCGCCTCAAAAAACAAAACAAGGGCTAATTATTCTACCATGTTAAATCATGACTATAGAATTTTCTTTCGATGGGTTACTCAACTCAAAAATGCTGTACCATAATTCAAAGCTTAATCCCAAAATCTTGGGAGGGAAAAAATAGAAGGAGAAGAATTGGTAAAATTCCTTTTCACAGATTATTTTTATATTCTGTTCCATGATGGGCAGTCACAAGGATCTATCTCATGTGCTTTCAATGATGAGACTTCGCTTCAGCTTTACTCTGAGACTTAGCTTTCGCCTGAAATTTGAAACAAATGAATTGCAAAAGGAAAAAGAAAAGTTAAACGTTATACACACACACACACACACACACAGTCCCTTCGGGGACATACAATAAAATGTGTGTGTGTGTGTGTGTGTGAAAATATCATACATCTTTGACAGCAGCCAGATAAGCCAACAAAAGTTCAACCAAGCACAATGGACATTAAGGGAGAACGCAAAGGCAACCTCCTCTAAGCAAGAGGCAAAACCCTGCCTAATTTAGAACGTGACGGAGAAAATGGAACGAAACAGAGGACCATCTAACAATTGTATCAAGATCATCATCCACAGCTTGATTCCCACAATGAACAGCACAGAACACTTAATTCTAAGAGATTAGGCTGTTAAAAGAAAGACCAAATAATAATGTAAATGCCTTCAGGGTCTTATGTGTAGAGAAAACACCAGACCTCTGTACAAGTCATACCATGTTCTGAAAGTTGATTTTAAATAAGTATTACTGAGCACTAGAGGGTCAGGTACCATGTCAAAATATCATTACTAACAAAAGTTTACGCTGTCAAGAACAGGACATAGATGTTTAGATTAATCTCTTTAACATTAACTAAGAATCGAAGGGTTTTTAATCAATCTGAGAACAGGTCAGCGTGAAGACGGTGTCAATCACAATCTGTGAGTTAAAATTTAGTACTCATCAAACTAAGAACCTTAAATATGTGGCTAAAAATCTATTCAGATAAGCCACACTGTGAATCATTATTATATAGAAAAAACAGTCCGGCAGATTCCTGAGGATACCTAGTCTATTAATACATCACAGAGAGAGCTAAGTGCAGCTAATAAATAGATAGCCAGTAATCACATTGGAGTAATAAAGTAGCCAGATGGAGTCATTGAACCTTATTAGTTATTACACGCATGTATTTGTTAGTAAATACAACGAGAGTTGCAGTTCAGATCAAATTTTTTATTTTAACTCCATTACGAAAATAAAATACATGAATTCGTTGAGCAAATGCCAACACGGAAAGGAAATGAGACCTTGATCGTCAAATCTAAACGCATTATGAAGATCAATACGGATTACAGAGTTCACAAAGGGATAAAATGGAAGAATGTGAAAAGAATACCTTGAGGATCTTGAGCTTGATGTTTCCATAAACGAGGCCGAATGAGAAAGCAGAAGCTCGAGCAACCTGCGAAAGTAACAGATTTTTCCATATATACACATTTCGCTACCATTTTTTCATATGGAGAAACAAACAGGAAAAGGGAATTTCAGAGAACGGACCAAAGCTAGGGTGCTGGTTCCTGAATAAGGTCCGGGAGGCGGCGCCATTGGAAAATTGTTGTTGTGAGCTTGTGGCGGAACAGAAGGAGGAGACAATTCCGAGCAACGAGTCTGGCTCAATTCCCGGATATCAAACCCTACGATCGGAGAGGGAGCGATCTCCAAGCGAGACCGATTAGTAGTGCGCACCACACTCCCCAGCCAAAAACGACGTCGTTTGTTCCGTTATATTGATAAGAAATAACTGGGGAAAAAAAAAGTCAAATTTCTTAAGACCTGTTTTTGCCTCAATTCTCGAACCCTTGAAAGATGGTAATGCAATGAAATACAGTGAAATGTAATGCAATTCTTATCATCATTGATATGTTTGGTATGTTATTAAGAAGATTGAGCAAAAAATTGTTATTTTTATATTTAATCAAATGAAATAATAATAAAAAGGTCCAGAATGACTCTCAATAAAAAAAAGTAACAAAAATTGATCTCACCTCCACATTGCTTGTCTTCTTCATCAATAAAAATCACAACCACAGGTCTAAAGCGACAAGTACAAACACATATATGGATCAAAGAAATGTTGATTACTATGACATTGTTTCCTCCTCCAACTTGATTTTTAACCAGTCCTTCGTCGCATAGTAAACCTCGTCCCAGCCACAACCTTCATCTTCCTCTGGCCCGACAACCGTTTCTTTCTTCTCTCTCTACCTTCAAGGCTTCCACGTCCGAAAATGGGGTTGGAGCTTCAGGTTCAGCAACTGCAATGGAAGCGGAACCCCAAGCGGAACAGACAATCAGCCCAAAAGCTTTCCCTACTGTTGCTGGAGAAGCATGAGAACCCTGCTGGAGATAATGGATCTGTTGCGGCAATGGCTGAAGAAGTGAAGGTGGTTCTATAATTTCAATTGGTAATGTACATTCCATCTTCCCTGTGCAGATCACCAAATGCAAAGATTTGGGTTGAACTCTGATGAACTGGTTTGAAATCCACTTTTCACGACGACAACGATGGCACCTCTATCATGTCCTCTATTGTTTTTTAATGATTAGAAGGAAAAGGTAGAACAAGTTGACTGCTCAAAAGCCCGACGGAGAAGAGCAAACGAGGAAGAAGGATGGAGGGGGATGACAGGGAAGGATCCAATGATGGGGGAGGGAGGGAGACAGCAGAGAAATGAAGGAGAAATGTTGAGGGCAAATATTGTCTTTTTATCTTTGATTATTGGGGATAAAATAGGCATCTTAAAGGGGATTGCTGGTATTCAATGATCATTCATAGCCCCCTCTCTCGGAATGTTCAGCACCAAAAAATGGTCAATGGATATTACCAATGCAATGTTTACTGCTATCAATAAACCCAACAAAACATACTTGGAATGGCAATGGGGAAAAGAATCCCATTGCAGTGGCGCAGTAGGATTGAACCAAACAGGCTGTTAGGTATTTGAATAATTTAATTGTGTTAGATTTCACTCTGTTTTAAGGTGGCGACTTCTTTCTTTTTTTTTTAATACAAGGCCACTGTTAAGCCGAGCTTGCTAACAGCCGAACATTGAAGTATCTATAACAATAGTCCATAGGAGAAGCATGTGAAATAATCAATTATTCTTCCACGTGTTGAAGTTCATAAGCTAGTTTAGGTTCTTGCACACGATCAAGACATTCCAAACCATATTATCATTTGGCTAGCTTTTCACTATCATTATCGTTTCCCAGATAGCCAAAGGATGGGTTTTTTTTTTTTTTTTTGTGGCTTAGTTTAGCTCCAATTGTCACTCCATTTTCTAAAATCTTCACACGAGAACACCATTAAAGACTCACAAATGTGCAAGGCACAGGAAAATTAAGTCAAAAGATAACAAGGTCATACATTCTAGCAATAGGTCCTTGAAAATTCTAATATATATTAAAAATATCAAGGGATACTTAATGAGCAAGTCAATCCACATCGTAGTTAGTTTTTTAACAAATGTGATTTACGCTGAAGATCCAATGCTTTGTGTGATAAGATCTTTAATATTTTCGAAAAATGAACACTTTTTTTGTGTTGATGGAGAGTATTAATTCAAGCTATATAGTCCATATCTTCTTCCTCGTCGACTGCTCTTTTTTTTTCCCATCATCACCAACTATGCCTCCAAAACAATCGAGCTTTATTTCTGGCCAAACAAAAAACAAACAGAATTTTATTTAGCTTTCTTGGGGAAAAGGAAAGTGAACTGTCTAAATATGTGAAAAGGAACGCTCATATCTTGTTGGAGGCAAGTTGAACCGTAATCCAAAAAAAGAGATGAGATCGATTTGAAATACCATGCACGATATGACGGCATACATTGCGAGAATTTTTCTTACATATCTTTTTCATCTAAAAATATAAAATATTTTTAATTAAATTTTATCATCCAATAAAATAGTTACCTACTTTCAAACTAACCCTATCTTTTTATATTTATCCATATTAAATACCTTATAATAAATATGAATTCATTATCAGTAGGGGCATTTTTGCAAAAAAGATAATGATTGCACCTCAAAAGATTAAGAATATTTTACATTTTTAAATATTCAACTTTTTAAAAAAATATCTTGCATTTTTAAACGAAGAGAGTATATATTATATGGACTAATTTACCGCTACTATGATTTAATGATATACCTATCAGCCTAAAATGTAAAGCACTTTTTAGCTACTTCTTTTTAACTACTTCATAAATATTAAGAAAATTAATTCTTCATATTTTTATAATAAAAATTAAAAATATATTTCAAGGAAACTTTTCTCTATTTCGTATCTCTCAGTATCTCATTAATTTTATTTTTTTTAGTTTAATTGGTAAAAGTTTATCTAGCAAAATATTTATTTAAAAAATTATTAAATTTTAAAAATAATGACTCAATAAACTAATATAGAGATTCGAATTGTATAACTTTTTCTGTATAATTTAAAATTTTTAATGTTTTGATATAAAACATATCATTTTGATATTTTAAATTTATCTATACAAAATTTTAAGTGTCAAGAGAATGAAGTGGGTGTTAAAGGTGGAGCGTGGTCTTATCCCGTGAGGTCCAGTTTACTTGGTCACAGAGTATTTTGGGCTTTTTCTTTAAGACAAAAGCTTTTCAATTGGATGTGATATTATTATTCTTATTATTATTGTTGTATCATTATTTTCTCCTTTTAATTTCTGTGACCCTCACCCGAACTCACTTTTGTTCCTCACCCTACAATTATTTATTCCGTCTTGTTTCAATTTCTTGATTCTCTGCCCTTTTCCTTGGGTCAATATCTGTTGATTCTGTTCAAGACTATCTGAAATCACATATTGCAAGATTCTTGTTTAAAACGGACCCACCCTCACGCCCTTTTCAGAATCTAGTGCTCTTTTGATTTTTTTTATTAATATTTCATTTGAATTTGAGTTAACCAAATCAAATCAAATTTTGAATAATTAGACAAACATAGGGGAAAAATATATGAGAATGTGATTTATGCTCAACATGATATGTCAAATTTGGTAAAAGTGTATCTAATGGAGATCAAATAGCACTCATAAACACTGCGACAGGACAAGAGGAGGCTATGGTAACCACAACTCTCTTTACTTTTTATTTTTTTATTTTTGGTGAGACAAAGGAGTTATATATTTTTAATTTCAAAATATATTTATTTATATTTGGTACTAATAAAATTTAACTTTACCTAATTACTAATCATATGATGATATTTAAGAAGAAAATAATTTCTTGCTTGAAAAAGTATATATTAAACTAAAGATTCACTTTTTGTAATCATCATCATTTCTAACGTATTGATATATTTATTGTTTTGAAAAAATATTAATTAAATGAATTAAATAATAAATATAATGAGCAAGTAACACATCTTTTCAAATTGAATTTTAAGAATGTGTTTAAATCAATCAATGTTAGGAAGTATAAATATATGTAATTTTGTTGAGAAATTTATCCTTCAAATTTTTCCAAAAAATTGATTGGAAAATAAATTTTAGTATTATGAGTGAATTGTGTCAAGTGTTTGTAGAGGTCGAAAGGTCTGATTTATATTTATTGATGATTTTTTTTGTTATGAAAAATCGACAATTAAAATTTAAAAAAACAAAAGTACATGTATCTATTTTGATTATATATTTGTAGAACTAAATTCAAATATGTTCAAATACTTTTTATTATGTCAATTTTATATATAAATATAGCTTTATTCAATTATCATATTTGTTTTGTAATCTTATCTCTTAATTAAAATTCTGACTTCTCCTATATGGACACAACACACCTCGACACGGACACAACAAGTACATGATGCACACCTTGACACATAATTGGAAGTGAACATCATGTAAAATTAAATATTTTTATTGTAATATATATATGTATATATATCAGCGGACGCATTACTATTTACAAATTAAAAATAACAACGTATTTCTTAGACTCTATGAACGAAGAAAACATGTCTGGGATATAAGATTCATCTACCATGGTATTGAAATCTGAACCAGACTGACCGAGTTAACTTAGAAACTGGCGACCCGATCCCTTGTTCGGTCTGGGTTTATTCTTAAACTGATGAGGGAATAAACTGGTGTAACCTGATCAACCTGGTTAACCCAGTGGGTTGACTAGGTCAGCCAGGTTAATTTTTTTGGGAGATTTTTTTATTTTTAATTTTTTAGAGTGCTGAGTTTAGAAATAAAATAACAAAAAAAAAGTGAAACTAAAGTCAAAAAAATGAGAAATTAGAGGTAGAGCACGCTAAGTCCAATTCAGATTTTCAAACAGCATTTAGTTCAGCCTTTTATCTGTGTCTCTCCTGTCTGGCCCTAACCTAATTAGCGTCTCTTCTCCAGGCTCTAGCTCTATCTCCATCTTTTCTTTAACTCTATCTCTGTCTCTGTTATCTCCATCTCTTTTCTAAACTTTTGAAATTGAAGAGTTGTAATTGTAATGATAGATATTTAAAGTATTATATTTTATTACTATTAGACTTTTGAATGGTTGAATTTGATTGAATGTTTTTTATAATTAATGCCTTTTTATTTAAATTATATTATTTTAATTATGATCGGTTTGCCACCGATTCAACCTTAATTAAATCACTAACTCGTGATTCAGTGTCATGACTGATTTAATGACCAATCCAATTTTAGGTACCTTGCATCTACCGTAGTATACCTATAATTGATCATTAAACCATAGGACTCATGTTAGGGGCTGATGGCTGAATCAAACTTTTTTTTTTTAAGGAAAAAAAAAAGAAAAAAAAAAAAAGCCTTGACGTGAATCCATACCATATTCTTTATCAGTGGCCGCCTTCTTTGACTGTTGACATCACTTGGAACAACTATCAATGAATGTGACACCAACTTTGCAAGAATCCAAACTTCTTACAAGGCTACACATGTACTACCCATTTCTGATTTGTCCACCTCATTTGCTGTCACACACTTACAAGCAACAAATGCATCTTTGTTTTAAATTAAATTCCTTGTATTATAGAATTATACATTTTTTTAAAAAAATATATATAGCACGGCATAATGTATTTGTAATTAAATTTTATTTTTCTTTTGTTCATGTATTATATGATTGTTAATTCTTTTCAACTATATATCTTTCATTTTTTGCATGATATTACATGCGGTTAAGTGATAAAGCATTTTAAATCTGTTTTTTTTTTTCAAACATTTATATTATTAGTTTTTCTTATTAATCAGGCTGGCTTCTGAGATCTGTGGGTGATATTTGCATACGAGAATAAATTGCATCTGTACTGAGTCTCTAACGAAGCCAACAAACAAACCTGAAAACGTCACCAAATAAGATTTAAAAAAAAAATCAACAGGAAATAAATCAAGTTATTATGGATTAATTTTAATACTTTAAATTTAAATAATTTTACTTTAAAATTGAAAAATTAAAATGAAACATGTTCCAAAGTTATTGAACATTTGAACCAAATAACAGACTCTTCACTCACCTTTGACAACAGATTATGAATCGATTTTAACACTTAAAAGATTAAATTAAAAAAATATTACAGTTGTTTCATAAAAAAAAAGAAGAAAATAGTACAATTGAAAGTGAATATTGTAGTTAACCCCTCTCACAGTCTCACTTTTAATTGGTTAGCTTTTGTTCAAAGATTCTTAGAGAAATTGGTGTCATTCCAATGAATTCGGCTGGTTTAGTAAGTCAACATGCACCATTAAGATTTAAGAACAATATTCTTATCACAAAAAGATTTAAGAACAAATATTTAACGAAATATGGAAAGAATCTCTGGATTTTTGTTAACTTCCAGTCTTTTGCAAGACTCCCGTTATTTATTGCACACGGTATTACTATATTTGTTTCCTATGATAAGTTCAAAAGAAATTTGGAAACTCCCTCAGCCTAAATCGAGTTGTGCGGGTGTTTGAATGTATAATATTGCTTCAAGGGTCGTCTTCTTCCCGTGTCTCATCATCTCTTACTGCTTTGCTTTCCTTTAACAACCCAAGCTTGTCCTTCACAGCTTCCATGGCTGCTTCCAATCTCTCCACTTTCTCTTCCTCACTTTCAAAGACCTCTTCTTTCCCTCTCCACAAGCCACACGCCCACGCTTCTTTCTCTGCTCAAACCCTCTCGAACCCCTCTTTCTTTCTCAACCCAACTATTTCTCACAGATCCTGTTTCGCTCTTTCCTCCAAAAACCCACTTTCTGATATTGCTTCTGTAAGTAAGCCATACCCAGAAGTTCAATTTGATGATGACGAAAAGCCTCGCGAGGAGTGTGGGGTCGTGGGTATATACGGCGACTCGGAAGCTTCCCGTCTCTGCTATTTAGCCCTGCACGCTCTGCAACACCGTGGACAAGAAGGTGCTGGAATTGTCGCTGTGAACAAGAACGTTCTTCAATCGATAACCGGTGTGGGGCTCGTCTCCGATGTGTTTAACGAATCCAAGCTCGATCAACTACCTGGAAGTTTGGCTATAGGGCATGTTCGGTACTCCACTGCAGGTCAATCGATGCTCAAGAATGTTCAACCCTTTGTTGCCGGGTATCGATTCGGGTCTGTTGGGGTTGCTCATAATGGAAATTTGGTGAATTATAGAACTTTGAGAGCGAAGCTTGAAGATAACGGATCGATTTTTAACACAAGTTCCGACACTGAGGTCGTGCTTCATCTTATTGCCACTTCAAAGCACAGACCCTTTATATTGAGGATTGTTGATGCTTGTGAGAAGCTTGAAGGGGCTTATTCTATTGTTTTTGTGACAGAGGACAAGCTTGTTGCTGCGAGGGACCCATTTGGATTTCGACCTTTGGTTATGGGAAGGAGAAGTAACGGTGCTATTGTTTTTGCCTCTGAAACTTGTGCTCTTGATTTGATCGAAGCAACATATGAAAGGGAAGTTTTCCCAGGTGAAGTATTGGTGGTGGACAAAAATGGTATTCAATCTCTCTGCTTAATGCCTCATCCACAGCCGAAACAATGCATTTTTGAGCATATTTACTTTGCACTTCCCAACTCAGTGGTTTTTGGAAGATCAGTGTATGAATCCAGGAGGAAATTTGGTGAAATTCTAGCCACAGAAAGCCCAGTGGAGTGTGATGTTGTGATTGCAGTCCCCGATTCTGGTGTGGTTGCTGCGCTTGGTTATGCTGCAAAAGCTGGGGTTCCTTTTCAACAAGGTCTGATCAGATCTCACTATGTGGGAAGAACTTTCATTGAACCATCACAGAAGATCAGAGACTTCGGCGTGAAGCTGAAGCTCGCGCCCGTTAGAGCTGTGCTTGAAGGCAAGAGGGTTGTGGTTGTGGATGATTCAATTGTGAGAGGAACCACATCTTCCAAAATTGTGAGACTGATTAAGGAGGCAGGTGCTAAGGAAGTTCACATGAGAATTGCAAGCCCACCAATCATTGCTTCATGCTATTATGGAGTGGACACACCAAGTTCAGAGGAATTGATATCTAACAGGATGAGCGTGGAGGAGATCAGAGACTTTATTGGGTCAGATTCACTTGCTTTTCTTCCATTTGATAGCTTGAAGAAGCTTATGGGGAATGATTCTCCTAACTTCTGTTATGCATGCTTTTCTGGGAAGTACCCCGTGGAGCCCAGAGAGCTTAAAGTGAAGAGGGTTGGTGATTTTGTGGATGATGGATTGAATGGGAGCTTGGAAGCTATTGATGGAGGTTGGGTTCAAGCAAGCATGAATCCGAGAGACATCAAGGTGGGTAGTGTCTGAAAATTGTCAGTGTTCTACGATTCTGATGATTAGGTCCTTGGGATAGCAGAAACAGTCTAACTATAGTAGTAGTGGTAGCGTGCTTCATCAAATTCGTTTTGATTCTGAAGGTGAAATGTGTATCTTCAGGTTTTTGAATCTCATATCATTGCTGTTTTTTTTTTTTTTTTTGGTTTTTTGATTTAGAGCAGTGGTGTTATTTCTACTCATGAGATATTTACCTGGTCATTATTTTGATATAGGATGTTGTTATCAACGCTATGATCAATATATCAGCTCAACAGTTTTCAAGCCCTCCCTGAAAATTCTCTTTGAAAAAGCAAATTATAATCATATTTTTTTCCCTAATATATATCCTCTTTGTTCAGGAAAAACGCTAACAAAATAAGCTCAGGAAATCATATTTCAATGTTGGAAAAATTAATTATTTAATTTTTATAATTTTAATTTAGTTGTAATTTAATGTTTTAATTTTAATTCATTATAACTCAATCTTTAAAATTTTTATTTAATTATAAGTCAGTCTCTAAATTTTATTTCCTACAATTTATTCATTAAAATTTTAACATTTTAAATATTGATTCTTATATTTAAAAAAAATTATAAAAATTAAAAATATTTTAAACTTTTAATATATATAATATTTACAAAGATTAAAAAAGTTTAATAATTTAAAACATTTAGTAATAAATTTTAAAATATTTTTACTATTTATAATTTTATTTTTTTAAAAATATAAAAATTAATATTTAAGAAGTTAAAATACTACGAATTAAATTATAAAAGGTAAAATTTAAAAATTAATTTACAATTAAATTAAAACTTTAAAAATTAAATTATAACAAATTAAAATTTAAAAATTAAATTATAATTAAATTAAAAGTGATCAACTGATTAATTTTTCTTCTAATTTTTTTGTAATAAAAAACTTCAGTAAATAGCAAGATACTGACTGTCATCGATCAATAAATTCCTCACAGACTAAATTCTCATCAATTAATTTAACTTTTGATATCGTTCAAAGTTCAAACAATGAACATTAGAGAACTCACGGAATAAATCCAACCGAACATTAGGTCCATTAAGTGTATAAAATTAAAAGGAATAATTCTAAATTTAACGAAGTAACCAATATTCTTTGAAGCATTATTAAACAAACGCTACTAAGTATTACACGCAACATTACAAAATCATTTCCCCGCTCATTGCTGAGAAACCAAAACGGGTCGTACACTTCTAAAAGGGGTGGAAATTTCAACCATCGTACCTCCCAAGTTTCAACAACCCCACATCCTAAAAGAAGTCAAAGAGACGAAGAAAAAGGAACGCAATGCCATAAGCATTAAACGATGACCTCGACCGTAGAAAATTCAAGTTGACCCGTGCATTCATGTCGGCCTGATTCATCATAAATTAATGTTTACACTTCAATATCAAATAACAATCAATGTTCGTTTTTCTACTGAAGCATAAATAATAAAAAGCTAACGTAGACGGCGGGAAAGTCAAAAGTCAAAGAAGCATGAAGCAGAAATGCACCCACCAATGTCACCTCATGACCCATGAGTGAACAGTTGACGATGAATCCTCTTTTTCTAAAGAAAAAAGAAAAGCCTCAGAAATTATTGCGCGCACGACTCGGATTTAATCAAAAAAGAAGATAAACTAGGGAGTACGTCCGGAGCATTTCGTTTATACCGTTTAGTGTATGCAAGAATCTCTCCCATAGCAATCCAAGAAGATAAACTGCACAAGATCAACCATTCTGAGCACTATCGTAAGCATTTGATTTATGCTTCGGCGTAAATGAAAAGCCATCAGGAACCTTGCCAAGTAGAATCTCTGATATTCGTATCTGGGCATCAAAAGGCAAGTGTGAGTCAGACGGACAACTATAGCATCTTGGTCTTGGCCGAAAGGAAGTTGTTCGGATTTAAATTCTCAGAATACGGTAAACGAATGTACCAGGTGTTGAAAAAACGACATTTTACCTTAGACAAATGGAAAATAACAAGCCAAAAATCAGAAGGGAAGGCAGAAGCATGTATACCCAGTCAGCTGCAGAGTCTGAAGCCATTTGCGTTTCGAGGTCATCGCGTCCATAGTAAGACGGCGGACGCCAGTTTAGTCGTTGTGGAATAACATCTAAAAGCCCAACAGGTATATATCTACATGTGTAGCTAAGCCATTCCAACAAGAACCGTCTGGTTGTCTCCACTCCTGCCACGCAAAAAGGAAAACGTTCACCATCGTATAGAAACAAGCTTTAACGGAGAAAAATTAAACTAAATAACATAAATGTTACACTCCTGTGAGCAAATATCTAACATAACATTTCCAGATAATCTATAGTACATGAACACCAGAGTGTCCGCAACTATAAAATTTGGTTTTCATAGCTCACTAAATTCTCATGCAGAGTTAAGAGTCACTTGCCTCTTATTTTCTTTACAGACAACTACTTGTAGATGTAGTTTAACAATAATAAAAATAAATAAAATACAGCTATAATTACATCATTATTAAATTGTACCTTTTGTATCAGAACCCCAATGTTCAAGGCCAAAACGTACAAAATCTTTCAAAATATTTAATCGCTCCCCGGAACTAATGTCCCAGTGCCTTTGTTCCTTGATTTCTGTAAATATCCAAGGCTGCAAAAATGCAGGCGTTAGTTAAATCCCTTCAGACTTGAAATTTTGTCCAAGTTATAATGTTTCTGATAGACAACTCATAACAGGCATTGGCCCACAATACTCGAAGACAAATTGGTTTGGCCCAAATGAACTAAACCTTAATTAATGCTCCACGAGCAATCATGCATGTAGCAAGCTCAGAGCATTCAGCCTTGTGGTTGTTCCAGTCAACAAATGAAGAAATATCTCCATTCCCTACTACTTGCAAAGTATTAGGAGCCTTCCTGGCACATTGGTAAACATAGTCCCAGTCAGCAAGCTTGCTGTATCGTTGCTGACGTGATCTACCATGTATTGTAACTGCATTGGCTCCCCAAGAGCCCACGTCTGCAATAATAGAATCAATGCGATTTTTCCCTTCAAAATAAGCTGTCCGTACCTAGTGTAACAAAGAGACATTTAGGACAAGCTTAATGGTTTTAAAATTGGAATGTGGCATATTGAAGGATGGAATAGCATTTTTTCTGCATACTGACAGAAGTACAACAACAACAACAAGCCTTTATCCCACTAGGTGGGGTTGCATACTGACAGAGGTAACAAGACTTAATCCAGATGTCAAAATTTCAGGACCACAGAATTTAAAGAGGAAAATAACTACAGACGCTGACCAATTTCTATCTCAGATCATCTCTTCATTTGGAAAGTGCTGGAATTACAAATACCTTAACGGTAATTGGTTTCTCCAATGTGCCTGAAGCTACCTCAACAATATTTTTCATCCGCATTGGTTTTGTAAGAAGAGCTGATCCAGCACCCTTATTCACAACAATATCAATTGGGCAACCCATATTTATATCAATAAAATCTATTGTACATTCCTTCTCTATTAGTTCTACAGTTCGTGCAATAGTATCTGGATATGCCCCGCATATTTGTACGCCAAATAAATCCTCAGATGAATGACGTCTCAGCAACGCCCATTCTGATGCTTGACCCTATAACAACCACAAAATTAGAAGGAAAATTGAAAGTGCTGGATAAGCAAATACGATAGAACACAAGTGGGAAAGAGGCACAATCAAGTTCAATTGTGGTGATGGATCCCATTTCACAGCTGAAAGTTGAAGCCAAGAATACTAATGTCATATGTTTCAGTTTGCAGATGCAGAAAGTCAAATAATAAAAGAATGATGATCTGGGAACTTGTGTGCATATAAATTATAAATCAACTTTGATAAATCAAATTTAGATGAAAGTAATGGAACATGTACCAGGGCATACCAAGGTATAAACTCTAGAAAGAGGATTTACATCATATAAGAAATAAACAAAGGAACCATATCAACCATTGAAAAAGCCTTATATGTACCTGCAAAAGATTTGTGCACATTGCCATTTCACCGCATGTTACATCAGCTCCCAAAACTTTGCAAACCCTCCTGAATGGAAGATTTCCAACAGTAGTCAAGGGCGCAAGATACACCTTATCTCTAAAATCAATAAGCATCTTTTCTCGTGGGTGCAACTTCATGCTTCGGTCAGTTTCAGGAGGTATGGCATCAGTTACAGCAGCAAGTTCAGCTTGTATGAAGCTTTTTTCAATGTTTTGGTCAGTAACACACACCCCTGTTGAAAAAGGTAAAGAGTCTTGAAAGTATAAGAATATATTAGGCCATCATAGGTATTGGTTAAAAATAATAATAAATCAGAAGATAATAACCTTCATTTTCAGAAACATCAAGACCAGAATTTTCTTCAGTTTTTCTTCTCTTTTGAGGGCAAAGTAAATCAGAATCAAAATTTCCATCAATACCATCAACTTTAGTGTCCTCTGTAGAGCTTTCTAAGTTAGAACCCAAGTCATTGGTTACTTCACAAGAGCCATTATTATCAGCATGGTGGCAATTATTTGAATCAACACTTCCACCATCCTTATCTTCCAGGTCATTCCTTTTTAACTTAGATGATTCCTACAACAATTGTTAGTTTTTGAGATGAAAAGTTAGAGTATGATACATTTAGATCAAATTATTGTACAAAGGAAAGTTTCCCTGAACAAAAATGCCAGAGTTGAAGAAAGAGAACAATCAAGAACTGTTAGTAATACAGGATTATAAATTTGAACCAAAGCAACGCAAAATTGGCACTTTTTTTACTTAGCAAACCTTTATACAAAGTTCTGAAAAAAAAAAAAAATGGGACAACAGAGAAAATAATATTGAAGATTTACATGTCACACTCTTGCTAATGTAAATATAGTTGTCCGTTTCACTATCTCGCTACATTTAATTTAAACAATTTAGTTTCTCACTCACTAAGGGAAAATTGAAGCCGAAAACTTCAAAGACTTCACTTGTACCCTTCCTGACCTTATTACCCAAGAAGGATCAAACTTTAACTTTCTATACCCAAAAAATAAATAAAAAAACAGATGAAGAAAGACAAAAGGAAAAATAAACAACATACCCAGAGTCCAAGAGCTCTGAGCCGGGCATCTGCCTTGGGGAAGCGCATCTTATTTTTCCACAAAAGCTTTTGAACATCTTTGCTCAGTCCATTTATTTCGGAAGTCTTTCTCCGATCATTCAGATTGCCAGGAGGCATACCTTCTGCATGCGTGCTGGAAAATCTACACGCTAACCCATAGGAACAAGAACCTTCAGCTTTAAAAAAAGGGCATTCTCCCTCTAAATCAGTTGGTTTCTGCAATTAAAGAACTTTGTCATGAGGGTTGACATAATGTTAAAGAAAACAAATCAATACATGTACAAATCACCTAGGGAGCAAAGCAATTTAGCACCTGGGCCTTGAAGGCCTCTAAGTCATGGCTGAAGCGGCATTTGTCACTGTAAGGACATGAACTAATATCTCCTGTCTTTGCAATTTCCGGACAAATGTTTTTAGCAGACTTCTGTTCCTGCAAAGGTTTTAAAGCAGCCTTACTACAGAAATGCCTAAAGTCCAACATAAGAACATAGCATGAAGGAGTAAAAGAAAGGGTGGCCATGTCCACACGGAACGCTATACCCATTGCAGATAAAGCAGCAAACTAGTTCAACAAGGCAAATATACCCCAAGAAAAATCAATTGATCAGAGTATTAGTTGTATTATGCGATATTGAAAACCAGTTCCCACTTCCCACCAATTGTAACTATCTATAACCAATCTTTTGTTAATTAAGGGTTCCGATTCTCCTCTCAACAAAAATACAGAACTAGTCGTTCCAGTCCTCATTGCACAACCTCAATATGCTTCAAATAAGCATTCACGCAACTCAAGGCAAAAGCGGCGTCGGAAGTTATTAAAATTATGACCTTTAAAGGCAAGACCAACGCCAAAAACTGGTTCTTGAAGATGAACCAGTTAAAACTTTCAAGATATAAGCTGAAGAGTGTGAAATACGAAGAATGAAGTACCTGACGACGTTCACGCTTGAGTTGGCGCTTCGACTTCTTCTCCTTTACCAATCCACCGGATTGGACAGAGACTTTATCCTTGTCCTCAGACACCTCTTCGTTCTGAGTTGTGGAGGAAGTTCGAACAGGAGGAGGACAAAGAAACTTCACCTTCACCGGAGCTATGGCCCTGGCTACAAGTTGCTCCGGCGTTTGCTGAGTTAACCCGTTGGAGTTCGACGAAGGTTGCTCCTCTGCCGATACGTCGGAACCTGGTATGGTCTTCGTCATAGTCACAGACTCGTCCATGCCGGAACGAGGTGAGTCAGACATCAGTGGTTCGGTAGTACTCTATGTGGGTGAGATAGCCTTTGGTTACAAGGGACCGAAACCTCAAATGAAAATAGGCTTGCCTCCGTTGGACGTTTAAGGCAATTTTAATGCCTTCGTGTAGTAGGGTTTTATACTTGTGCACCGCGGGGCGGGCGACGCAAACAAGTGGTTGATTAACGACGTGTGGAGCTGTCGTTTCGGGCGTTCGGACATAATTGGAATAAAAAGGATAATGAAACATGTCAGAAGTGGGATTTGAACCCACGCCCTCTCACGAGGACCAGAACTTGAGTCTGGCGCCTTAGACCACTCGGCCATCCTGACGGTGTTATAATCTTGTGCAAGTGTTTTTTATAAAACCTTTTCTCACCCTTTTTTTTAAATCTCGCTGCTAAGAATCCAATATAGAATTTTCGAGTTTTTTATTTACAAACTAATGTTAAGGAGTTGATCCAAGTGTCAATTGATTAAATCCTTGTGTTGCTCCTAACATACATGAACAAGTTAAACACCATTAATTATTTAACCTCAATCCTTTACTCTAAACCAAGATCTTACTTCTCCCTCTTACCAATGATGTGAACTTGTTCACATATATTAGTAAACTTAAAAAAAAAAATAGATGAACAAATATCAATGATATAAGATTACAAGCAAGATTAAATTTGTAGTCTCTCATTTATAGGAAAACTTGCATATGCCACTAGATTTTAAAGTTATTGGCGTATTAACAAACTTTAACTCTTAAAATCTCACAAGCAAGCTAAATGTCTTGGAATATAAAATATTTAGATAAAATTTAAAATTAGCAGTTAATAATTGTCCTTTATTGATGCAAAATCATTAAAGGAATATTTCAAGTAGAAAAAAATATCATAGAATTTTAATTTGATGAGATTTATATTATTTTTCTTATTTGATTGAGATAAGATCTACAATTCAATAATTTATTTTATTTCACTAAACATATTTCTCATACCACTATTTAAGTATATTTTATTTTGATTTGATTTGATAATGATGAATAGTTTTTAGCTGTGATTAGGATTTTCTCAATTTAAAATTTAGACTCAAATTTTACAGAAAAAAGTAGTTTAAATTATACACACACACACATATTATGACAATAACAATTTAAATGGCTGGCAAAACACAATTTAAATTAAAAAAATTGCTATGCAAAGCTAATGAAGCTAGTTATTGGGCCTTCTTGTCGGGTCAAGTAAACCCGGAAAATAGGTCCGGGTCCAGCAACTAATTAAATAAAGGAAACGAGCGATTGTCAATGTCCACGTATCCTGCTCCTGGGGCACCATAGTCGTACAGAGAGAGATCGGTACTGGAAGATCTCTCTGGGGAAGAAATTGAAACTATCAGATCTATTCAACTGCCTTGTAGATCCACTGTCAAATCATGTCTTCGTTCAGCGGCGATGAGACGGCACCGTTTTTCGGCTTCCTTGGAGCCGCAGCTGCCCTCGTCTTCTCCTGTTAGTAGAACCCCGATCCCGTACTTCGTTTTTTTCTCTCTATTTGTTGATTACATCCTAGTTCGATCTGAATTCCTGCTTGCACGATCTCTTTCGTGTTTGTCTAATTGTCTTGCAAAGGATTTTTTATCTCAATGCTCAAGCTTTATTTATCGTTGAACTGGGGGAATCGTTCTGCGTAATTTAATTTCTAATCGTTAATTTGGTTGATTCTTCGTTGATTTGGGAAAAGAAGCGAGCTCAATCCTTTTGAAAGTATTGGGAGAAAAGTGACCTGGATCTAGGGTTTTACTAAATCTCTCTGTTTTTTATTTTTTATTTTTTATGTTGATGGTTATCAATTCAGTTGTGCTTTGATCAGTTACGTCAAACATCTTATTGGCCATGCAAGAGACTAGTTCAAATCATATATATTTTATTTAATTTTCAGTGTTTAAGATTCGTCTTTTAAGTAAATGAAAGATATTTCAGTTATTACAAGAATCAGAGTGTGTGGCCTATTACAATTATTTTGGTTCGAATCTCATTACAGTGATGTTGTGATGAGCACCCAATGGTGATCCTATTACGGTTCGTGTTTTGTTAGGATCTCCTGTTGTTTCGAGCTTGAGAAGCAGCAGACGGAATATGTCTATCGAAATAGAATTGCTTCGCTTGGTTTTGAAAGTGACTTTTCTTTGGTGAAAAGAAGGAGGTCCTTTCTTAAAAAGTGACCTGAATCGATTAACTTCAATAATTCGTGAGCTTATGTTTTCTGTTATAACTTATTGTTGTATGGCTTATTTTTCTTATGGTAGGTATGGGAGCTGCCTATGGCACAGCTAAGAGTGGTGTAGGCGTGGCCTCGATGGGTGTCATGAGACCTGAGCTGGTTATGAAGTCTATCGTTCCTGTTGTTATGGCTGGTGTTTTGGGTATTTATGGCCTTATTATTGCTGTTATAATCAGTACCGGGATTAATCCTAAGGCCAAATCATATTACTTGTTCGATGGTTATGCACATCTCTCCTCTGGTCTTGCCTGTGGGCTGGCTGGTCTCTCTGCTGGAATGGCTATTGGTATTGTTGGTGATGCTGGTGTTAGGTATAACCTCTTACCTTAGTATATTTTGACTGATTACTTCCCATTTGAACTTTTTGTTTCTCGGCTGGCATCTAGAGAACGTAGTTTCTTGTCCTTGATTTGCTCTGGTTTTAAGGTATTAACAATTGCACCACTTCATCTGGTGGACTCGTGTATAAAAAAACAATGTGTATATAATTTTAAATCATATCATTTGAATTGATCAATTGTGGTTCTCTATCTACTTGCTTAAGTCTAGAACTCTTTGTCCATATAACCTTTGCCCTTCTAAACTTAAAATACGATGTGATCCTTGTTAGGAAACCTTTCTTTGTGGGGAATAACTGAATCTTGATACATTGATATACCTTTTTACCTTGATGCCAATGTAAATTTCCCCCTTTGAGCTGTTCATTACGTTTTGCAGAGCGAATGCCCAACAGCCTAAACTGTTCGTTGGAATGATTCTCATCCTCATCTTTGCTGAAGCTCTTGCTCTCTATGGTCTTATTGTTGGTATTATCTTATCTTCTCGTGCTGGCCAGTCCAGAGCAGATTAGAGAAGGAGTAACGCTGCCAAATATTCTTTCGTCGCCTATTTATTTAAATCTTCCTATTAGTGGTTCGACGTTGTGAATTTTGGTTATCACGAGATTGGTGATTTGGTGGCATCAATCCAGGCTTTAGATACCACACGTTAATGGGGATTGTTCCATCGGCCGTTTGGCGGTGTTCTGTTTGTATAAGTAGGCGTTCCTTGTCCCAATAAAGCCTTTGAAACTTGGTCTTTTTATTTTTATAAATTTATTGCCGTAAGTTCCTAAAACGATATTTTTGTTGGCTGCGTAAACCATGTGTGGTTGATTTTATCATCAGTGAAACCTCCATGCATTCCTAGTCTTTCCATCATGAGCAGAATTTTTAAACTTATTGCCATAACTTTGCCTATGTTTATAGCCGACCAACCTGATAAAGGAAGAGTATTGTGTTAAGCTCTTTACAGCTAATGTGTGTCGAAAACAATTAAGTTTTAAATACAATTAAGTAAAGTTGTAGCTGCGATTGTTTGAGTTCAAATTGATATTAAGAATTTCATTATAGGAACGTTGTAGCAATTTATCTTCAAATCAAGGCCAAGCAATTTTGAAATCACAGTGCAATCTTTGAGAATCAAGATGAAATTAAGTTTCGTATTAAAATGATATTGTAGTTCCTGGTTTAAACATGAGGAAAACATCTGATAGGACTCATTGATGATTATTGAAGGGAAAAATGAATTTTCTTTTTTTATTGAAAGTTATAACCGAATGTATATATACATTAGTATGTGTACATGTGAGAGGTTTACAAAGTAAAGTAGCTAAAATAATATTATTTGTTACACCCCTTCACAAGCTGGAGCATATATATCTTTCATGCCCAGCTTGAACATAAGAGTTTGGAAAGGACCAGGAACTAAAGGCTTAGTGAAAATGTTCGCAAGCTGATTAGCTGACCGAACAAGGAGAAGATGGACAACTTTAGACTGAACCTTCTCTCGAACCAAATGATAGTCCAATTCAATATGTTTTGTGCGTTCATGAAATGCGGGATTGGCTATAATTTGTATAGCAGAACGATTGTCACAAAACAAGGAAGCAGGCAAATCATGAAGGATATTGAAATCCTTGAGCAAATAAAGCAACCACTGAATTTCACAAGTGGTCAAAGCCAAAGCACGATACTCTGCTTCAAAAGAAGAACAAGATACAGTGGGCTGTTTTTTAGATTTCCAAGAAATTAAGGAGTGACCAAGGAAAGTACAAAACCCTGTAATTGATCTTCTAGTGTCAGAACAACTAGCCCAATCTGAATCAATAAAAGCTTTCAAGCGAAAATCAGAAGAACTAGGAAATAAGAGACCCTTCGCTGGAGCATGCTTGAGATAACGTAAAACATGATGAACTGCTTGGAGATGAGAATCACGAGGATCAAAATTAAACTAACTCAAATGCTAAACAGCAAAACATAGATCAGGGCACGTAATAGTCAAATACAATAAGCGTCCAATCAGCATTCTGTAACAAGAAGGATCAGATAAAGGAACACCAGAATCCTTAGAAAGCTTAAAATGTTTATCCAATAGAGACTTGACAGGTTTGCATTCAAGAAAACCAGCATCTTGAAGAAGCTCTAAAGTGAATTTTCACTAACATAAAGTGATACCAGAAGTAGAACGACCACTTCAAGTCCAAGGAAGTATTTCAATTCACCAAGATCTTTGATGGTAAAAGCCTGATCAAGAAGAGACTTAATGCGAGTAATTTCAGCCATATCATCACCAGCAAGAATAATGTCATCTACATATACTAAAAGGGCAGTAAAAGAGCCATCATGCAGATGAGTGAATAAAGAATGATCAGAAGCAAATTGCTTATAACCATAAGACCAAAGAACTAAAGAGAGCTTAGCAAACCACTGTTTACTAGCTTGTTTCAAGACATAAAGAAATTTTTGAAGCTTGCAAACAAGAGAAGGATCTGATGAAGAAAAACCAGGAGGCATAAGCATATAAACTTCCTCATGCAAGTCACCATAGAGGAAAGCATTATTAACATGAAGCTGGTGGAGAAACCAGCCCTTAGCAGCAGCCAAAGAAAGAAGTAAAGGAATAGTAGTCATCTTAGCAACTAGAGAAAAAGTGTCAAAATAGTCAACACCCTCAGTTTGAGTATAGCCCTTAGCAACCAAATGGGCCTTATAGTGTTCTAACTCACCATTGGACTTATATTTCTTTTGAAAAACCCATTTGCAACCAATGGGGACTTTGCCTGATGGTAAATGAGTAAGAACCCATGTATTGTTCTGTTCAAGGGCGGAAATTTCAGCAGCCATTGCTTCATGCCATTTTTCATGTTTATTTGCTTCTCTAAAAGTGTGAGGTTCAGGGTTAGTGGTGATAGATAAGCTGAAAGTTCAATGGTTAAGGGACAAATTATCATAAGAAATGATGAAAGAAAGAGGATGGCGAATACCTTTGTTATTAGATATTGGTACAGAAGTGAATAAGGAACAGTGATAGTTATGCAGATAACTAGGTGTTTTAAGGGTACAGGTAGAACAATATACAGGAGGAGGAGATAGAGGTAAGGGAATAGTAGAAGAAGGAGAAACAAGAGGTAAAGAGTAATCAATATCTGGATGATGCTGTAAGGTAGGAAATTCTGTGAGAGAAAATGCAGAGTCAAAGTCCTGAAAAGGAAAGACTGATTCATAGAAAATAACATCACGAGAAATAAAGATGGAATTAGAAGAGAGATCAAGAAGGAGATAACCTTTGGTGCCCGGTTTGAAACTTAGGAAAACACATTTACGAGCTCGAGGGTCAAATTTAGATCGATGAGCAGAAAGAGATGAAGCATAACAAAGGGAACCAAACACCTTTAAATAGGTGAAGGAAGGAGGTTGTTGAAATTGTTCAACGGTAAAGGTTTGTCCAATAGTTTGAGCAGCAATAGGAGTGAGAGGAACAGAAGAGGAATCTTAAGAAGCAACATGATGAATGGAGGAACCAGATTTTTGACCTTGAGTTTTATACCCGAGAGGATAACCATTTTTCTTGTAACATGTCTCAATAGTGTGACAAAACTTACCACAATAAGTGCAAAATTTTTCATTTAAAGAACCACCATTGGCACTAGAACTATGGGCCTTTGAATTGTGAGAAGAAGCCTTAGTGAAAAGGATCTTAGAATCTTGATTTCCCAGCATTTCTCGTTCTTGTTGAACAATAAGAGAGAAGACACGATTAACTGTTGATAAGGGATCCATCAACATAATTTGGGATTTAACAATGCTATATTGGTCATTTAATCCACGCAAAAACCAAATGACATAATCTTCCTCCCGATAGACACGCGCAACAGCAACCGCACCACAAGAACATGCAGGCTTACATACACAGTGCTTAATCGGGCATAAATTAGTCAATTCGTCCTAAAGAATTTTAAGACGAGTGAAAAATTGACTAACCAACATATCTCCTTGATGTAAACTAAAAATTTCTTCCTGCAATTCAGCAATGCGAAATTTGTCGCCATGAGCGAATCGATCTCAAAGATATGTCCAGATGTCACATGCATCATCAATCTAAAGGATGCTGTGAGCGATTGTCGGTGAAATAGACTTGGCAATCCAAGAAACCACCATAGTATTACAACGAATCCAAGAAGAATAAAGAGGATCAGAAGAATGTGGTCGGTGCAATGAACCATTGGTGAAGTCGAACTTGTTCTTCGATTGAAGGGCCATGGTCATAGCGCGAGCCCATGTGTGGTAATTGCTACCATCAAGAGGTGGCGAAACAAGACTAAGGGTAGGATTCTCATTAGGATGAAGGTAAAAAGGGTTAGAAGGATCTGATTGCGATGGCGGCACCACCGTCGAAGGATCAGTTTCTGCCGGAGGGGCCATATCACAGCATAGCTAAGAAACGCTTGAGGAGCTCTGATACCATGATGATTATTAAAGGGAAAAATGAATTTTCTTTTTTTTTTTAAGTTATAACCGAATGTATATATACATCAGCATATGTACACGTGAGAGGTTTACAAAATAAAATAGCTAAAATAATGTCATCTGTTACACTCATTTTGCTGAGGCTTCGACATAACTTGGCACTACTAGCACGACTCATTGTCCAAGCCTGTTTTGTGGAAGTTGCTTGAGTTTTGTGGTGCAATGCAGGTCCTCCATTAGGTTATTAAAAAAATTGCTAAAAACTCAACCGCCATTAATTTTATCTTTTAAAATTTTATTATCATTCTTTCTATAAGTTTTGTTTTCAAGAGTTATGATGATTGAGAATCGTGTGATTGCTTTTAATTAAAGTTATTTTAATTTCTGTTTTCAACATAGAGATTGATAGAAGAGATGAGGAAAACTAGAACGAGAAAAGAAAGAACTTTCTTATTTCGAGACTGTAGATGCCCCCTATTTAAGTAAGGGAGGAAGATGTGTAAAAATATTTGTTCGAGAAGAGGTTCAAACTTCAAACTGAAGCCTATAGCCACGAGGCGCTCAGTGTGCAATTGGGTCGTGCGTCAATATTTTTGGGAATAACTGAATGGGCTTATTAACAGGTTTGTAATTCAGGCCTTAACACTTTGTTGGGCTTAAGTAACCAGATCAGAGATGTTAACAGTTTGATTCTTAAATTTTTTTAAATTTCTCCCAAATATTCGTTTATTGAAGCAATTATATTCGACATTTGATTAGGTATTAAAAATAGACACTCTTCTCAACAAGATTCGATTGCTATGTACAACCATGTGTTTAAAATACCCGGTTAATATGAGGATCTTTTATAAAACTGTACCCAAAATCACCTAAATTTCTTTCCCAAAAAAAAAAGAAAGAAAAAAAACTACATGTAATTCGTGTCTTCAAAAATTCTGCATGGATATATAAGGAAATAAAAGATTTAAACATAAATTTCACGCACTTGCTTTGCTACCAACGGGGCATGAGAATCTCATGGATTTGGATAGCGTGAAGGTGGTGGCCGTTGGGTGAGTGAGTGGCGGACCAGTGAGAACAAAGGCCGTGTTTGTGAAAATACCAGCGGTGGGGGTCCAATTCATAAAAAAAAAAAAAAACCTGAGACAAAATTAAGTAATTAACCACTTCTTCATTTCCCCTCAAGAACAATCTGTTTCTTTCTTGTTGGGTGGTGAAGATAGACCAATTCAGTCCAATTCATCGCTGACTCACTCTCCGTTCTGTTCAAATGGTCCGCTTTTGGCTCTTTCCTACGCATTAGCCTGGCTTTTCACTCCATGTTCATTGTCCTTGTCCTTGTCCTTGAGCTTGGCTATATTTAATCCCATATTCTTGTCTATAATTTAAAGAATAACATACAATGAA